GTATCCACCTTTACAGGGTGGATGTGGCCTATGGAGCCTGTTGCCACCCCTACCTTACCTGCCATCTAAAATCAGCATCAGAGGAAAATGGCCAGGGCAAAGTGGGGATGGGGAAGCAGAGTAGTGTCTGTGTTAACCCCCTGGGTTGTGGGGGCGGCACGGATGGGGGTTGGGCCAGCCACAAAGATGAAGGCTGTTGCCACCACTCATGAGTTTGATACCCTTGATCTAAAGTAATGGAGATCTGGATGTTTAACTCTGAAGGAGCTGAGGGGAAAATTGCTTTTCTAGATTGTAGTTCCTTGGGGTGATGGTAGATTGGTCATTTTTTATTTCTGCCCAGTAGCTCAATGCTACAATGTTTTAGTCCACTCCCTTTATTGCCTTGTATGCAGAATCCTGTTTCTAGTCAGGAGATGTCTGTTTGGACTTGCAAGTACTGCATATTTAAGTTTAGACCAAAAAGAAAGGACCTGTTTTCATTTGAGTTTTATTTTTAATTAATGCAAACACTTCTATCAGTATTAATTTTTGCAGAACCTAAATTTGGGGTTTGAAGATGCCTCTACAGTAGACCTGAATACTACAACGATGACAATGATAAAACCTACTATATTAAAATCACAAAGAGATCTTTTTCTTTTGTTGAAACCCACTGAAGTATTGGTTCATTCAGTTCCATAGGATTTGCTATTTTAGATCAGCTAGCAGAGCCATAGTTGCTAACTATAGTTCACTTATTTTTAATGATTGTTCTGGGGGTAATTAATTTACAGTTTTGAAGGGTGGATTCCAGGGATCAAATATATAGGATCTTCTTGCACTTGTTTTACACTGGTGAAACTCCATAGATTTCAAGGAGGAGTATTCCTGATTACCATGATATAGATAGAGCAGAATTAGGCCTGTGATGTTACTGAACTGGTTACTGAATTGGAGTTCCTAGTTAGGGCTGTGCGAGGCTTTGGACTGTGCTTCAGATCTGGAGAAGCATGTCCGGATCAAAGCACTGGCTTCGTTAGGCTTTCCAAAGCGGTTCTGAGCTTCCAAACTGCTTCAGAAAAGCTTCGGAGCCGCTTCAGAGATCCAGCCATAGGGTATAATGGGGAATCAATGAAATATCTATAACCTTGTTGTTTTTTTGTCTGACTTGGATGAAACTTGCAGGGATGGTAGCCTCTGCTGAGATCATGAAGCCTGCCAAGTTTCAAGAAGATGGGTGCAGGGGTTTGGGGAGAACTGCACCCAAATTCTTGAAAGCAAATTTCTTGTCACATGTATGTGTTACACCACAGGGGAGTGAAAACTGCAGGGGTGGTGGCCCCTGCTGAGGCCACAAAACCTGCCAAGTTTCAAACCTGCAGGGGTTTGGATGGAACTGCACCTCAAGCTGCTGACAGGCAGAACTCGTGACATAGATGACCCTGTGTGTGTTAAGGTGCAGTGGGCTGAAAACTGCAGGGGTGGTGGCCCCTGATGGGGCTGTGAAGCCTGCCAAGTTTCAAGGAGATAGGTGCAGGGGTTTGGGGGGAACTGCACCTCAAGCTGCAAACAAGCAAAACTCGTGACATGGGTGCTTGTGCAACTGTGTCTGTCTTGGGGCAGTTGATTGTCTGTATTGATTATTTCTTCTCCTTAGTCTGTGGTTTTGTAGGTGGATCTCCGAGGCGGCTCCGAAACTGCGGAGCTGCTTTGACTGGTTCGAAGTGGGAAACCAATCCAGAGCTCCGGATCGAATCACTGGCATCCAAAGCAGCCGGATCTGAAGCTGTATCAAATAGCTGCCTACTCGCACAGGCCTATTCCTAGTCAGTCCATGTATTGCATCTCTTGGAGTTTTCTGTCATCTTTCATGATGTTTGACATGGGTCCTTTGAATCTTCAAACTCTAGGGAGTTGCTTGCAGCCAGTAGTTTCTCTTGTGACTAGTTTGGAGATAAACAAGTCACTTATGAGTTTACAGTTAAAGTTCCCTATCAGTGGACTTGGACAGATAGCTTATTTACACCTGTGCAACTAGCCTTTACCAGCAGGTACGAACAAGGAGCAGACAGATAATGCAAACTGTACTCCTCTGTGCCATACAGTCGGTGTATATTTAACTTCCAAAAAATGGGAGTGAAACTACACTCAATTAAATTCCAGCAGTAGGTATTATCTGTCCAATTTCATCCCCAAGTAGCTGTTTGGTTGATGCAACATTTTATCACACCACCAAGTGGCAAAGAGCTGCAATAGTGGCTACTGTGAGCAGCTACTCCCAGATGACTGCTCATCTGTCCACTCTGGATCTTGGGGTAACTTATATTAGTGTACAACACTGGCATAAATTACACTAGTATAAATGTCAATTGTCTAGACCCCAAGAACCTTGGAGAAGATTTTCCTCTCCCACAGAAAAATCTGTAGGACAGGGTCTCTGGGAAAGAGAACTCAGTGAAAGGAACTCTATAAAAATGTCCTCATATTATTCCCGGGAGGGCAGCTCCCAATGTCAGATACCCTTGCTAATTTGGTAAATTGAAAATAAGGGTGACCAGTCTTCTGGGATAAATGGCTTACAATTTATATTTTCAGCAGCCTGAGGATGGTCCAGTAAGTGGCACACTTGATTAGATTGTTACATTTTTATAGATTCTTTGTTGAACTGCAAATATGTGTTTTTAATTGTTTGCTTCAGTAATTAAAAACACATCGCTGCTGATTTTCATCATGCCCCACATCTAAAAGGAAGGGCTGTCTGCCAGCCTTGGGACCTCTGAGATTTTCTGCTTTATGTCATTCTCCACTGTAGAGTTTGCCAGTACTGGAACCATTATTCTAGGCAGAGAGAACTCACTAACACATTCTTTTCATAACCCATTGTTACTCTTCCTTCCCATATGGATCACTGATGAGCAGCACCAGTCTGAGGAGTATGCTGGTCTGGAAGCTGGCACAGGTTGCTTTTCACGGTTTCTTTTTAGTAGAAAAATATGAAATACTATGAATAATATGAAAATGCAACAATCTGTTGGAAAATGTGTAAAAACATGCACTTTAAACTTATAAGAAGTAGTGAATGGGATTGTTCACATGTTAAAGTATGTGTGTAAGGCAGTAATTTTCAACCCGTGAAATCCTTTGAAGGGTGATGGGAGGCATGAGGAGATAAGCACAGGCTCAGGTTGTCCTTCCCTGGTTGCTCCCCCACCCCCACTACTCATCCCCTGTGCAAGGAGGCAAGAACATGCTCATGTCTGCCCAGGTGCTCCTTCCTTTTCCCCATCTGCCCAGCCCCTTTGCAAGGAAGTAAGCACTGTAATAAATAAATGGGGTGCTGCTCAATTCAGCGAAGGCTTACGGAAGGGTGTCTGGACTCTAAAAAGGTTGAGAACCACTGGCATAAGGGCTTCACTGGATTGGAGCTGTGATGTTCACCATCTTCTAGAACTGAGTCTTAACTCTGTGAACTTAATCTCTCATCTAAACCTCACATCCGCATCCCAGTGTGAGTGACAAAATGACATTCTAGATGCATCCTAGGTTAGTCTAAATGAAGGAATGAACAGCCTACCTACAGAATGAAAATAATAGCACTGTTTGCTCTGTGTGTGTGTGTGTGTGTGTGTGTGTGTGTGTGAAATTTGTGACTAATCAGAATTGTGACCTCCTTTGATGCAGTCAAAAGGTTATAAAGCATCACAATATTCTGTTATATTCACTTTAAGCTTTTCCACTCTCTCTTTTGTAACTTGTAACTGTAAATCTTTTAAAACCTTGCTGCCATTACAGAGGCAGATGGACTCCTTTTTCACCTGGTAGCTAAAGGTGACTGCCTCAAAATTTGAAAGCAGAAAAGTCTGGAGGTGAAGAAAGCTCTTGAAGGGATCTTCAGTTGGAATAGGGTCAAAGTTGTTCACACTTCTTTGCTTCAAGTATTATTTTCCAAAAGATGTCTTCAATTTTCAAAAGCTTCCCCATCTGTGATCAATATCCCTAGGGGTAATGGTGGGTTTATATCAGTGCTTCTCAACCAGGGTGCAGTGTCACCTTGGGGTGCCTTTAGATCCTTTCAAGAGTGTCACAAGGTAGGTATGCATTAGGTATGCAAACATGATTCACAAGGTAGACCCATAAACATAGTGTTAAAAAGATTTTGACCTGTTGTGGTCTTTCTGAGTTCTTTTTAACAGAAAAATTGTTCTATTATTCTCTATTGTCAAAAATGCAAGTGAAAACTTAAGAGCTGGCATTTTCTGAAGGTTGCCTTAACTCTTAAAAGGTTGAGAACCACTGGTTTATATTTTGGCTAAGAATGCATGCAGCCAAAACGAGGCTTTATTTTAAAAGCTGTAAAAAATGAGATATAAAAGACAGTGACTGTGCATGTGTCTTGCTACCCTGATGATGATAATTCTCAGACTATTGGTACCTTCCTCACTCACTGGGTGGTTCAGAGAAATAGAATCCCTCTCCCATTGGTCAACATTGAAATGCATCCTATCTGCTTGTATCCCCAAAAAGCAGGTACAGTTCATCTTTCATAAGAAAGGATGTGTAGTAAGTAGAAGCAGATAAAAGGAAAGGTGCTGTTTGCCCCAAATAAATTCCTGTGGGTATACAGGAAAAGAACATAAGTGATGCATCCTACTGCCTCTCACTGCAGAGTTGCAGGGGTAGATGTACACAGGACCACTGTATCCTCACATTTTAATAAAAAGCACGCAAGTTGAAACCTCACAGCTGTGTTTTCAATTCATGCAAATAAGACATGCTTCCTTAGCAGAACACCTACCACTTTTTTCTTGCTCAGTTGAGTTACCTCTTGGCTGCTGCAAGGCTTCGGTGTCAGAACCGTGCAGTAGATTTTGTGTGCAGTCTCTCACTGTAGAGGGGGTGGGGTTTTGTGATGCAGCATTTTGTGATGGAAACTGGCTCACTTGGTTTGTGTGATATTTTTCTGTTTTGTTTGTTTGTTTTTTAATGTTGCTTTAATACATTTTATTTCCACCCCCCAGGCAACAGAAACAGAGAAGTCCTTTACAAATGGGTAAGATATACGGACAAACCATGTTTGACGCCCCGAGAAAAGTAACCAGAACACCACTCCAATTCCAGTGATGGTAACATGGAAACTGAGGCCTGTTGACGATCTTAAAGGCTGTTCATTCAAAGGGCCCTGGAATTCCCTAGGAACATTGAAACAGACACCCATGCACCTCCACAAGACTGGGATAAGGATGCCTATTTTAAGTCCTCCTCCAGCTGAAGGGCCTAGGGCTGGCAAATGCTTAAGGTCAGCTCTGAGGAGGGCAACATGACAGTTACTCTCTAGAAAATTACATGGTCTGCCTGTCTGTCTGTCTGTCTATCCCTCCATGCCCTGGATCACTGTGCATTTATAAACTACATTTTCATAACTCAGATAAACGGTAGGTGTTTAACCAAACCCAGTGGATTATAACTGTCCTATTAATGTTTTACAACTGTGATGATTAGCTGTGATATCAAAGGGGTATGTGCAATATAGAGGCATTTCACATCCCCCTGTAAGGTATCTTGCTTATTTTGTGTGCAGTAATTGTTTGTCACATACATGTTTCTGATGCTTCTCTCAAAGGAGGCGGATTACAGTGCTTTTCATTGACCATGGAGAGCCTAAGAAATAGCACTGTTCAGTTCTCATCTTCTTATTCAGAAAGTATAGTGTCCAAGTACTCCTAAAATGCAGTCTGATCATATGTGTTGTCTCGAAATGCTAGGAGTCCCTTTTCATTGATCAGTTGTGTAAAAACCTTTTCAAGCCCCAAGAGTCACGAAAGGCCTCCTAATCCTGAGCAAACAATGGGGTAAAACCTGAAGGAAGATTGAAATAGAAGGGAACAGAGGAGGGATGGGAAATGATCCTCTGGCCCATAATACACGGTGCTTGACAATAGCAAGCACCAATATGTAGCCATGCAGCCAAAGGTGAATGGCCAAGGCTGGAATAAATGTTTCATGCCCTTGGAGATGGGTAGAGGTGGGTGAGAGAAGCCTAAAGGAGTTAGGTGTTAAACTCCTACTGAACCTGAATGGGTGTTGAATACTTAACTCACATTGCCTCCCTTTATAAATCCTACCCCATAAGTTTACATGTGGGACTTTTAAACTGATTGGCAGTCATTTGTTTCTGGCAGCTTGTGAACAGTGATGGAGGAGAGATCCCCTTTAAGATGCACCTCCCTGTCCTTGGTAGCCTGGATGCTACCTCCTAGAGGCTGCTGATTTACAGGTGCAATCCTTTGAACTGCCTAGTACTCCCTGATCCCTCTGCCTTCAATAGAATCTGCTGGTGCTCAGGATCTCATAGGATTAAGCCCAGAGAGATTTGGGACAGTGGAGACAAAAATACCCAGGAAGCCCCTCTTGCTTTAGGTCCTCAGAGCTGATGTCTTGCTCTTAGATGGGCTTGCAAGGAAATTGGGGTGTTAAAGGATTGTGGAGGCCCACATCCTCTTGCTAGTATTTCAGGCCTTTGAAACTACACCAGTTTACACCAGCTGAGTCCCAGTATTTCTGACAAGAGCCCAGCTGTTTTTTCTCTTTTCCTTTAAAATCCAGTATTTTCAAATGAAGTGATTTGGGGAAAGGGAGGCATTTAACTAGCTTCTCAGATCTTAATTCTGAAATTCAGTAATTACACTGTGCAGGATGCTTGCTGGGTGTCCTTGCATCAAGGGTGGAAGGCCACACTGAGGAGGAGGAAGTTGTCCAAGCTTGTTCAGTAACATGCTACATCCTTCTGCATATGGTTCCATGCTGATCAAATTCAGCTTCACATAAGTGAGAAGCTGATTAACCCAGTTGCTAGATATCTGTGATTACTCTTGCCAGTTAATCCACTGTTAATGGGCTGGCCATATGAATAAAACCATATTTTTAAAACATTATGTATGTTTTTATCTCCCAAAACTGGGTGGGTTCCAGAAGCTAATGATACTTCTATGAAACATTTGCTCTGTAACTGATACTGCTGTGCTGCTTTCTCAGTAAAGTTCATGGTTATTTGTAGAGGAAAAAAAATCCCTCTGAGGGACCATGCCCTGCATTGCTACCATACTGCAACAGGGTCCATGTCAGGAGAAGGCCTGAAATCTCATTGGGTATTTTCTCATGTTGCATGCTGAGTCAGTGTCAGCTGTATTAGAGCAGCCTGAATCTTGCTCTGATTTTTGTCAGATTGCAGTGATCAGAGGATGAAATAAAGGAGGCAAGGAGCAGCAGAGCACTCTTGTGCTCCGGTCATGTTTCCAGCTGTTCCCATTCTCTTACCAAATTATCATAATTTGCAATAGTATCACCCTATAGAACCCCTCTTCCACTCTTCCCCCCAATCCCAGCTTTCTAAAGATACCCATGAGATGGAAGCATGTTTTCAGGAATAATTTATTTCAAGGACTCTGGCCCAAGTTTGTTTAGTCTCTTAGGAGGTGCAGCTTTGTGGTACTAGTCACCTATAGTGACTTCTAGGTTACTTCCCCAGACCTGGACTGTCTGGAGTGCCCCTTGCCCATTCCACCTCTCATATTACTTTACCCCAGAATTGAGGAGAGCTTCAAGAAAGACATGGCATGGCCACACCTTACCAGCAGTGTCCCCGTGCCTGGAGTTTATTGCCCATCCTACAACCCATTATAACCCTTTGATTCTGATGGAATAAAGTAAGCAGGCCACATGGGGAAGAGAACAAGGGCCCATTTCCCTCACTAGATGGAGTTGGTTGCCTCTGGTTGCATGAAAGGAATAAAATGAAGGTGATTTTGAGTGTGCAGTGCTGTTAGCAGCTTATGCCTTGGCAAAGATGCTTTGCCAGGATTCCAGCCTGTGCCTGTGAGCTCCACTGTTAAACTCTCCTCCTAACCCCCCGCCACATCTCATAAGAGCGTGCTGTCTCTGATCCAGGACTCACACTTCACATTCTTTATGCAAAAGGCTTTGGCAATCTATCTGGTGTTTTCGTTCTGTTGGTTTCTACGTCAGCTTCTGGTTCACACCCTCTTCCGCTCTCACAAAGCTCCCATTCTTCCACCTGAAGAACATCCAGTACTACCTCAGGCCACACACCTTCATTGTTTGTTTAGCCCCCTTCCTTCCCTTTTGCAGTCTACAAGCCAAAATTATCTCCTCCTTTGCAAGAATGCCTTCACAGTAAAACATTGCCACCAGTGGTGTGCACAAGAGGAGCTACCTAAACAACATGCAGAGAGCCTTCAGGTGCCTGCTGCATGGCTGGGAAGAAGTAGACAGCAATGTTGAAATCAAAAAAACAGGATGCCCCCAGTTACTGAAGAACTAGCAGGTAGATTGTAGGCAGAGCTGGTCAAGATGTGATATTTTCCTTAAAAAGATGGACAAAAATTAAAATTTTAGGTAGGGAAGATTGATTTTTTGCAATATAAGTCCAATTTCTAAAAACCAGAAAGCTTTCCACTGGTGAATTATTTTAATGAAAACCTATTTTTAAACACAATTGACATTTTAAATTAAAATCTCCATTTTGTCAAAAAAGCCACTTTCCATCAAATCAAAGTATCAAGGGAAAATTTTCTACCAGCTTCTAAATGTTTGTAGGAAAACAATCCCACAGCCAAGGGGACATAAGACAAATACTATGCCCATGGGCAGATCCAGGATTTTGTGAAAGGTAGGGTGCAGGAGCACCCACCAGTGCCACAGAAGTGGCTTCCCCCTCTGTGCCCAGCTACCCACAGGACAGGCAGTCTCTGCAGTGGGAACAACAGCAGGGAACTTTTTTTAAGTCCCCCAATCAGGTAAGAATCTTCCATCCCCACTCTCGGTCCCCTCTCCCATTTTCTCCATGCTTAATAACATACCCCCTCCTCTCTGTTTGCTGATCCTCTGCCTATTGCTGCCTCTGTCCCCAGCTGCCTTGCTGGGGAGAGGCGGGGAGGGGAGGTGGGAAGGCTCCAGAGCTTTGATCTAGCCAGGCTGCACAGGGATCCAGAATCAGTCAAAGACTGCAGTGGCACTCTGGGCTGGCAGAGGACCCCTGGGGGAGTGGGCAGGGAGAAGGTACTCACCCACTGCTGTTACTGTCCCTGGCTGAGCCCAGCTCACTGCAGAGCCCAGCTGGAGAAAGCCAGGAGCGGCTGTTGAGGCCTTCTGCCCCTGGGTCAGTGAGGACAGCAGCAGGTGGGTGATAGGGGAGGAATGGGAGTATAGGAGACGTGCCATGGAGTGGCAAAAAAGGAAGGGAGTTATTACTTCTTACAGGGAGTTAAGAAGTCCCCGGTTGCTGCTCCGATATTGTTGACAGAAAGCAGGGTGTGTCCGGGCCACTGCACCCCTTCTGGATCCACCCCTGCTATACCCCCAGATACTAACCAGAAACCATGTTGCCACTCGTGCTGCATTCAGAATTCTAATAAGTAGGTTATTACACAGAGAAAGTCAGTCCAATCAAGCTATAGGTACAGCCTTGATCTTCCTGTGTGTGTCTACATATGCAATTGGAGTGGAGCAGTAAACTCTGACACATACTGTGCCAGAATTTATTGCTCCCAGGTGCTGCATTTGAATGTGTGCTGGGGACCACAGAATGTTGAACCAAGTCAGAGCAGCCCCAGCTGGCAGGGGGCCCAGGGGTCAGCCTGGTGGGTCAGGGCTGCTCTGACCTGGCTCAGTGTGCTGCAGAGGGGCTGGCTGGGGCATGAGGGTGCTCTATTGTGGAGCTATCTGGCATGCAGCCCCTGTACTCATGCTCCAGCCAGCATCTATATGTGCGGTGCTGCAGAGTAATAAACTTCAGTAGAATAGTACTTGTATTTACAAGTACTACTGGAGTCCCCTGTAGTTGGATGGTAGAATACTTGTCTGTCACACAGGAGACCTGGGTTTGTTGACACTTACACAGCCACAGCTTTGAAGGCACCAAATGTTTGGACTTGGTCTGGCCTTTGGATTCTGTCTCAATGGCCTAAAGGGAGGATGGAAGGTCTGGGAAACCTCTACTTCTCCATACTCCTGCCTAGGCATATGCATTGAATGTCTGGGTGACTTTTTGTGCACACACCATGATCTGGAAGAATCAATGGTTGTCAAAATCAGACAAGCACTACCCTTCTGCAGAGTTGATTATTTTCCTGCCATACATGTAGGCAATCCCCTTGTTTATGAACCACAGCCCTTATAGCTACCCACTTGCACATCCACATCTGCCTACCTACAAGCACTAGTTCCCACACACATAACCTCATCATGTTTGCCCATACCACTACACTTGCATACCCTGACTCCAGCCCATGATCATATTTGTGCCTTTCTATAGGCTGACCACGCCTCCAGCTTATTATGCTAAACAAGATTGTTACCGAGACACAAACCCTTCCATCTGCTCTGATATGTACCATGGTGAACCAGGGACTCAGCCAAAACACTCAACTAGAGACACTGGTGTCACTGGATTTTGAATCCTACTTGTTCTGTAGTCTTTTTAGGGCAAGCAGGCAGGGTGGGATGGATATGGGGCTTTGTTTTCAGATATGCTGCCACTCACAACTCCAGCTGCAGTTCATGGAAGCTGCCCATGCTCAGCCTCTCTGCACATGAAGACTTAGTTGAAAATCAAGCTGTTTCCTGACTGCCTGGATCAGCAGCTCACATGATGCATGAAAAGGTACAGAGAACAGGGATGGAAGGGTTAGAGTCATGCTTGATGTGCTACCTACAGTCTGACTGCCATTCTTCCCAGCAACAGTAAGTTCAACTAGATCCTTTAGTTACAGTCTAACTGAAAAATGTAGTGGAGCACAGATGGGTGCCTTGGCTAAAGGGTACATTCTCCCCTTCTTTGGGGCTTCTGTCCTCTGGTTAACATTGGTGTAATTCTACTGACTTCAATGAGTTGCTCCTGATTTACGTTATGACCCAATGTGTCCAAGTAAAGTGATTACTATCAAAAGGGTGCTGACCCAGGGACTAGGATAGGGGTGGGAAAAGTATAGCCCACGGACTGAATCTGGCCCACCAAGGGATTTTGTCTGGCATGTCCCTCGGCCCACCTGGCCCTGGTGTGGGGGCAACCTAGGGTGCATGAGGCAGAGTTGGGGCAGTGCAGGGGCCAAGTTCACTTCCTGGCAGCCACATGGTGGTGGCTTCTTCTGGATGCTGCTGGTAGACCCAGCCTGTCCATTCTGCACCCACTGCTGGGGGGACCCACATGGGCAGGGTGCATGGCTGGGCAAAAGGGATGGGACCATAGGTGGGTGGGTAGGGAGCAGCAATTGGGAGCAGAATGGGCAGGAGGGGCCAGGATTGCAAAGTGGTGACAGTGTGGGGTCAAGGCCCAGAGTAGTGCCAAGATCTGCTCCCTGCACATCCCTGCAACAGGTACCAGTTCTGTGGGCAGGAGCATGCAGGGAGTGCATCCCATGATGCACGTAACGTAAAATGCTCTGCCCCAGGTCCCAGTCCCCACACTGTCACCACCCCAAGATCCCAGACCTGGCCCTACCTGCCTGTTCTACTCCCAGACACCTCTCCCTGCCCACCCACAGCTCCACCCTGTTTGTGCACCCTACTTGGTTTCTGTGTATATCCTGGGATCATGGGGCAGTGACAACACGGGGCCAGGGGCCAGGGCTTGGGGTAGAGCTGTGAACCCCATACACCTCTGCCCATGGAACCAGTGTCCACTGCAGGGGTGTGTGGGGAGTGGAACATGGCTAGGCCCTGGGCCCTGGCCCTGCACTGTCATGACCCTGCAATCCCCGCCCTGCCCCGTCCTGCTCCTGCATGCCACTCCCTGCCCACCCACAGCCCCATCCCAGCCTCCTGCCTGAGTGTGGAGAAGAGCCACTTAGTTCTGGTAAGCTGTTGGATTGGGCGGGGGGG